CTCTCTCTCTCTCTCTCTCTCTCTCTCTCTCTCTCTCTTTCCCACTCAGACTTCATTCTTTCCCTCTGCTCTCCTGAAAGAGAGAAGAATGATCATTGGCAAGCGGCAGTTGCAGCGAAGCAACACAAAAAGCTAGCTTCGCACTCAGGTGAGAATGGTACGTTTCCTCCTTGTAATTCTGGTACTCTGCACAGCTTCTCTAATAAACTATAGAAACAATATCTGAAAGTATAGTTTTTAATCTAATGTTTTTAATTTGCACTTCTGTGGCAATCATTGATATTGAGCATCTTTTTATATACTTTTTCGCAATTTGTGTTTGTGCCTGTGCGCGTGTGTGAAATATGTGTTCACTTGTGTGTGCACATGTATGTATGTGTATTTGGAGGTCATAAGTTGATGTCAGATGCCTTCCTTGATTGCTCTCCACTGTATTTTTAAAGACAGGATTTCTCATTAAATTTGGAGCTTATCAATTCAGGTAGAGTGGCTAGCTACTGGGCTCTAGGGATCTTTCTGTCTCTGTCTCTCTGGTGTTAGAATTAGATGCGCGTGCCATCACTTCTGGCTTTTTTTTATTTCTTTCTTTCTTTTTTTTGTGGATGCTGGGAACCAGAAACCAGGTCCTCATGCTTCTTTGGCAAGCACTATATTGCCATCTCTCTAATTCCTATGTCTATGCCTTTAAAAATAAATTTATTGGCCGGGCTTGGTGGTGCATGCCTTTAATCCCAGCACTCCAGAGGCAGAAGCAGGCAGATCTCTGTGAGTTCAAGGCCAGCTTGGCCTACATAGTGAGTTCCAGTACAGAGAGACCCTGTCTCAAAAAGGCAGAAAAAAAACAAAAGGTTTATTCAGGCCATTTGCCTATTTTAAAATCAGTCATTGAATTTTTGGTGTTGAGTTGCGTGAGCTACTAAAAGTTTCTAAGAGTTGTCTTAAAAAGAGATGATGTTGTACTGGAGAGATGGCTCAGAGGTTCAGAGCACTGGCTGCTCTTGCAAAAGGACCTGGATTTGGTTCCCAGCACCCACAGTATAGTTAACATCTGTCCTTAACTCCAGTTCCAGAGGATCTGATGCCTTCTTCTGACTTCTGTGGGTATTGCATGACATGGGTGCATATACATACTTGCAGGCAAAACACTCATACATAAAATAAAAATAAATAAAATATTAAAAAATGAGATGATGCCTTCTTATTGCACAAAAGGAATCAATAAAATGGGGTAGTTTAAAAATATGGAAGAACGCAACATTAACAGAGTTCAGATAATTGTGTAGATGAAAAGAGACAATGAGGAACACTGGCAAGAGATCAGTTTTAAATAATAGAAGAAACTTGTTTATCTTGAAACTAGAGGATAAGAATGTGTACAAATGTGAATGTATCAAGAAGGAATGAGATTAAAGGTGTTTTCATTTGACTTCTTTAATTTTTTCCTGGTTGATAGGAGGAACTATAATATTCTAAGGAAGATTGGGTGGGACATAGTGGGAAAGTAGGTGTCCTACTTAGCTTTTTTTTGTCAACATGACACAACCCAGAGTCATCTGGAAAAAAGCACCTTCAGTTGAAGAATTGCCTCCACCAGATCAGCCTGTGGGCATATCTTGATTGATGATTGATGTAGGAGAACCCAGCCCACTGTGGACAGCATCATCCTTGGGTGGGCCTGGGCTATATAGTGAAACTAGCTGAGCATGAGCCAGTGAGACAGCCAGTAAGCAGCATCCTTCATGGGTTTCTGCTTGAGTTCCTGCTTGAGTTCCTGCCCTGATTTGTTTCAACAATGGACTGTGAACTGGAAGTGTAAGCTGAAGTAAACTTTCCCCAAGTTGTTTTTAGTCATGGTGTTTATCACAGCAACAGAAAGCAAACTAGAACAGTGGCAAAGAATATAATGAATGCTTGACAGAGCACAAAAAGATGCGCTAAAGAGTTGTACAGTTAAAGACTTATGTGTTATGAAATTACTTAAACTTACAAGAAGGAAATATTTCATCTAGTTGTGCTTGGTAGCTTGCAAATAAAGCTTACTGATAGATTACTCTGTGATTCAAGATTATTAGGATAGGTGTGGAGGAAGTAGAAGATGAAGTCATTGAGGGTGCTGTAAATACAGTGACTGAAGTAAAACATGGGTCCTAGAGTGTGGAGGGTTACGAGCAATGAAACTGGGGATGACGAACTGAGAGAAAACTAGGTGGAATGGGAATCTAACCTCTTCATGATCCCCAAGAATATGCTTAATTAATGAAAAAATGAAAGAGTGAAGCCTGTAATTAGAGAGGATAATTATGTATTATGAAAGTTTATTTGTATATCTTCTTGTTCCCAGAGTACAGGAATATGCTCCATTAATTTTAACTTCCCTATACATAGCACATAGTCTGTTATGTGATTAATAGTCAATTACTGCACATAACAATGAATAAAGTGAGGTTCTTTCTGTATTTATCACTGTGCCTGGTTAGATAACTATATTTGTATTTTTGTTAGGCCCAGGATTATTGGTTATGAATAACAGTGGGGATATTAAAAGTTCACTAAGTGTAAGTAAATGTAATTGGGTCTAGAGTTCAGAGTATGGACACAAGATCCAACTTCCTCAGTTAAGTTAGATGAGTTACCTGGACTCTTTACCTCAATCTCTATATCAGAAATAGGTTTTACAACTGTAGAATATGCTGCACAGGATATATAACTAGAATAAATTAATATTTGTAACAAGCTTAAAGCCATGCTTGGAATGTGACATGCTTTATGTGGATAAAGGTTGTTAATTAAATACAATATTTAGAATGTTGGAGCTGAATTGTAAAAGCTCCATGACTGATTTAGTATTAGATCCAACTGAATGATTTTTGGAGAAAGACCAAATAAACTATAGTTACCCAGTGATATATCTGATTGACTCATTGATTATGAAATAAGTCATTAATTCCTTGAGAATTTCATACAATGTATTTTATATGAATATATACGAAACATAAAATGGTAGGGATATACATTACTTAAAATATTTATTTTATTTTAAATTGTGTGTGTGTTGGTGTGTGTGTGTTTGTGTGTGTGTGTGTGTGTGTGTGTGTGTTTGTGTGTGTATGAACATGAGTGCAAGTGCCCTCGGAGGCCAGAAGAGGGAACTGGATCCCCGGGAGCTGGAGTTACAGGCAGTTATAAGCTGCTGGACAACTGTGCTGGGAACCAAATTCATATCCTTTGCAAGAGTAATACATGCTCTTGGCCGATAAGCCATCACCCAGACCATTTGCTCATTTTAAGTAAGTCTCTTCCTCACTCTGACTCACAGCTTCTTATAACAAGAACGGTGATTTTGCACCCCAGGACTTTAATGATATCAAAATACATATAAATACTTTGGCTTTAAAACACACAACTACAATATTGAGAAAATTGAACTGTTTATTAGAAATATAAATATGCTAGAAAAAATTCTTGAAACAGGCTAGAGAGAATTACCTGGCAGGCATCTACATTGCCCTTCAAGAACCCAGCACACAGCATTCCTGGTGTGATCACTCCACCATAAACCTTCTCACTGTTGCATGTCTTATTATCTATAATCTTCACCAATCCTTTTTGGAGTATGTTAGGACTTTCTCCTAAAGAAAGAAAATTATGTATTTTAAAAAAGAGAATTGCAAAATTTTAGTTTACATTATTTATTTATTTATTTATTTAATTAATTGTGTATTTTTGTGTGTGCGTGTGTGTGTGTGTGTGTGTGTGTGTGTGTGTATGCACCATGGTGCATGTGTGGAGGTCAGAGGACAGCTTTTGGGAGTCAGTTTTCTCCTCCTTTCATATGGTTCTGGGGATCCATCTCCAGATGTTAGGATTGGAGGCAAGCACCTTGATCTGCTGAGACATCTTGCCAGCCCCCTAGATTGTATACTTTTTATTAAATTCAATATTAATTTATCTGAATTGGTATTTAATGTTAATATTATTTGTTTTTCAAGCAAAAGAAGCATGTTTTAATGAAAGCAAGAAATGTTTGTGAACACACCAAACTATTGCTAAAATGACCACATACAGAAATAGTTTGTGTATTATATATGATAGAATTTTTTTACTTTTAAAATGTTTTAGAATTTTACATTTACTACATATGTCTTAGAAAGTAAAATTAAAAATAACATGTCAGAAGCATACATTTCATAATTGTTTATATATTTTTAAGCTAAGCTTATTACTGTGGTTATGAATCTTAAAATTAATTTTAGGCTTATTTTTCTGCCTTCAAAATATACTTATGAACACATATTGGTACTGAATGTTCATGTGATTAGGGTCATGGAAATGCATATGATAAGCAGTTTTTTGCTCAAGTATCCTCAACCAGTTTCCTGCTGAGGGATAAATGTTTATTGAGTGAATGAATGACATAGAGGAAAATTATGAATCCAAGTGAAAAATTTCTAAAACAATTGCCATTTCAGGAGAATTGCAGCAAGCAGATCTGTGAAACTATAGGTTCTATATGAATGATCCTGATGATAATTTTTGTCTATCACATAGTATCCTATATTAAATGACCCAGAGAAAGTATTTTTCAGATTTAGTTGTAATTCTAAATCCATTTCCTTTTAATTCCTAAAACTGGAATCCTATAGTAGAAAGAGGTCAGGAACTTACCATCAGACTTTAACGTTCCCCATCCAGTGACCACCACGTTTAAATTGGGTGGGAATTTCTGAGTAGCTTCTGGAAGACAGGCCCTTCGGATGTTGCTTGTATATAATACTGGCGAAGACAGACGCACAACAGCAATGTCATTATCGTGTGCAGGGTAATGGTAGTTCTCATGGATTATAATATTCTTGATAGTTCGTTGTGTTTGTGGATGATTTAAAAGAAGCCCAAAACTAACATTCCAGTCTTTGGGATTTTGAGCCCTTAAAGGAAACAGATTTATTTATTAAAAGTTCTGTATATTGGAGTTTAAGGAATTATTCACTTAACGTTTTAAAAATAATTAGGTCATTTGAGCTTTCATGGTGTGTATGTGTGTGTGTGTGTGTGTGTGTGTGTGTGTGTGAGTGTGTATGTGTGTATTTAAAAAATCTGTGTGTAAGAGAAGAAATAAAAATAATGATAACGGGGCTAGAGAGATGGCTTAGCAGTTAAGAGCACTGGCTGCTATTGCAGAGAACCCAGATTCAATTCCCAGCACACTCATCATGGCTAACAATTGTCTGTAACTCCAGTTTCAGGGGATCCACTGCCCTCTTCTGACCTCAGACGGCATTGCATGACATGGGTACACTTGCAATACACTCATACACATAAAATAAAAATTAAAAAAATTATATACAGACTTTTGAATAACTCAATAAACTCTGCCTTAAAAGATAACCAATAGCTGGGCATGATAGCCCAGAACTTGGAAAGCAAAGGCAGGAAGATGGTGAGTTTAGGCCATTCTGGGCTGCATAGCAAATTCAAAGCCAGTCTGAGCTGTATACTGAGACTGTCCAAAAGAATTAAAAAGAAAGACAATTCCCATTTCTTTATTTGAATAGAAAACACTTAGATAAACATAAGAGCATATAATAATAAGAATGGATAGAAAGTGGGCAGGGATATGAACAAGCAACTTATGGAAACCAAAAGTCTAAATCTCTTTCAGTCATTGAAAATGACAGAAAACAGTTTTGACTTGTGTTGTTGCTTGCTATTCAATGATCTGCACACTATGCACTGAAGAGCAGTGCTGCTAGAGAACTTCCAAGCTCTCCACCAAAGTACCAGAAGAAGCAAGCATGCTTTTGAAGAGAGCTGATGAAGTCTGAGATGAATTTTTGTTTGTTTTTAAACTGCTCAGTGGTAGAGTACTTGCCTGGAGTGCACGAGGCCCTGGTTCCATCCCTAACACTGAAAAATAGAGGTATATCTGGCAATCTTTTTGTGCAACAATAGATAATCCATACCTATAATTCAAATATTTAGTAAGCAGAAGCAAGAGGATTACAAGTTTGAAGCTAATTTGAGCTATATAGCAAGTTTAAGGTTGTCCTGTGTTGAATAACGATATTCTCTCTCAAAACTAAATAAATACATTTCAAATAAAACCAACTATAATGAAGATTCACATACAATTTCAGACTTAAATTTTTTCATTGTAATTTGTAGCCTATGACTCTCATCTGGTGGTTTTCATCAGAACCATTTTGTCTACCCATCTTGGCAATGCTTTGTATTTTATTTATTATTTTTTATTTTATGTGTATGAGTATGTTGCCTGCATTTGTGTAAGTGCACCCGTGCCATGCAATACCCTCAGAGGTGAGAAGAAGGCATTGGCTCTCTGGAACTGGTGTTACAAATGGTTGTTAGCCACCATGTGGGTGTTGGGACTCAAACCCATGTCCTCTGAAAGAACAGTCAATGCTCTTAACTGCTGAGCCATCTCTCCAGCCCTGACATTGTAGTTTTTAATATTGAGAGAAATGGTCAGCAGGCCCCAACCTTAGCCAAAGAACTAATGGAAGCTGATTACTGTTGGGTGAGGGAGAGTTGATCTTCTTTAATGGAATGACTCTAGATAGGCTGACTAGATCCCAGTGGATGAACTTGCACAGAGAGACATCTGGGTGCAAAAGCTTGTCTGGATAGACCTTAACATATATGATAGAAAGCATGAAATGTGGTGGGGGGCTATGGGGAGATGCAGATGGGGGACAGGGGTATAAAGATGATTAAGATGTTTTGTACGAAATGCACAGAGACTCAATACATTGAAGAATGTTGCTATTCCTGGTGGGTCAGTGCAGGAGTGCCACCACCTGTTCCATCATGCACAGGACAGCTTTCCATAACAAAGAGTTATCTGATCCAAAATATCATTAGTAGCATGTTTGACAAACTTTGTTCTAGACTGATTATATTTGTCATTTTACTGATAAATTGTGGAGTAATTTTGAGGTTCCACCTCGCAATATTGAACAATTGAAAGAATAGCTGTAGGGCCATATCTCTGGAAAGATATTATCAGACTTTAAGGTGCTTGAATGCCTTTGAGACCTTCATGTGTGTTGGATCTTACCTTATGAAACAGTGAGCAGCAGTGATAAGCCAGCTGTTGCTAATCAGAGTGGCTCCACATCGGTGAACTTGGTTCTGCTGAAGGCTAGCTTGCCAGGGCCATTCTCCTTCCTCAGAATCCTGGCCCCCTGCTATTTTGTTGCCAGAGGGAGTAATTGTGCGTTGCCCACAACCTGTTCAAAGGAGAGTTCGTTAGTGTTGATATTGCCTATGCATGTGTTGCTATACTAAATGAACTACCCATAATATGTGTCCTTATTAACTACTAAGGAAAAACCTCATAGTTTTAGAGAAATTAGGATGGATTTGTTGCTAATATGATTTCCTGAGAAATCCTAGTTATTCAAAATAGAGCAACATCTTATTGCTCTAAGCCCATCTCTCACTTATACTCTGTGTCTATCTGACCTTATTATTATGATCTGTTATAAGAGGTTTGTGTGGTTATAGTTTGATTTTTTAATGTTTATTTTTATTTATTTATTATTATTTTATGTGTACACGTGTATTGCCTGCATATGTGTAAGTGCACCCATGTCATGCAATGCCCACAGAGGAAAAAGAGGCTGTCTGGTTCCCTGGAACTGGAGTTACGGACAGTTGTTAGCTGCCATGTGGGTGATGGGATTTGAACCCAGGTCTTCTGCAAGAACAGCCATGTTCTTAAGTGCTGAGCCAACTCTCCAGCTTCCCCTATAGTTTGATTTAAAAAGATAACAACCTTACTCAGTACTAAGTTGCACAGGGAAATGGCACTTTATATATTTTTAAATTTTAGTGAAGGTTGCAAAGCAATGAATAATATGCAAATAGTCATATTCCTGTTAATGAATATGAATACTAATGAGACAGAGAAGATAGAACCGTGCTTAATTCAAGTCTCAAAACATAGGATCTAGATAAAAATATATGACCTGAAAATGGCCAGTATTTCCAGTCACAGGCTTTTGTGAAGTAGCACTGTGCTTTATTGTCTACTTAGGACCAATAGTTGCTGGAACCTTTAAAGCTAATCTGTAGTAAAAGTACAAATTCATTATCTGTCAGCCTGATTCTCTGATTCCCTTGATGGTCTTAACTTTCCAACTAAGGTAATGAAATTTTCCTTTGTTATCTTTTTGTAGAGATTGCCATCTCAGTGGCAAATGTTTTTAAAGATCAGGAATTATACTTTAAATAAATATGCCTTTGAGACTGGAGAGGTGGCTCAGCAGTTAAAAGCACTGGCTGCTCTTACAGAGGACCAGGGTTGGCTTCCCAGCACTCATATGGCAGCAAACAACTGTCCGCAACTCCAGTTCCAGAGGATCTGATGCCCTCTTCTGACCACACAGGTGCACTTACATACATGCAGGCAAAATGCACATACACATAAAAAATAAAAATAATAAATTAAAAAAATGTGTCTTCAAAACATACCACAGAAAACATATCACATAAAAGGAGCTCAGCAAATGTTTGTAGAAATAAAGCATGCATAGACTTGAAGTGAAACTGATACATGTTTGCTACTGTATTTGGGGAATGAAAAAAATTGTAATCAATTCAGGGAGAGGCATAGATTAAAGCAGTAGGTAGTATTTGGCAGTGTCAGGGACATTTTTTGTTATTCAAGTGGCTGGGGTTTGGGGAATTTTCTATGACTATGCAGTGGGTAAAGGCCAGGGATGTTACTAAATGTTCTATAGTAAATGATAACCACTGAAACAACGAATTACTGACTCGATTTCAATAGTGTTAAGGGTGAGGCATGCTGGATTACAGAAAGGTATCAAGAATAAGAACATTTAAATAAATTAGAAATGTTTGATGTTCAGTTGCTTCACAGGGATATGGATTATACTGACCAGATGTACTTTGAGATATTCTTTCCTGAAGGTAGGAAGGCACTAAAAGCATGGGGGAGGCCTATAGATTCCTAAAGGTCTTAAGTGGCCTTCTGAAATCTTTAAGTTTGTACATTGCTTTTAGTGCCTGGTTATTTTCTAGTTGTACTCCAAACCTCAGATTGTTAAGGCATCTTCTTCTGTGAACACTCACCTGTGCCTGTTGTTTCTAAGGGGTGCTCTCACACTGACTCACTGGATGCAACTCCCTTTTTTCTTTTTCTTTCTTTCCACTCCCTTATCATGGATTGTACAGAGGATAGAGCACATAATCCAAGACCCAGAGGAATAATGGTTCCTCCCTATGCTCCCTTCTGTTTGGGCTACTCCTAAAGGAAGTCGGCTTTTACTCAGCTTCCTTCCGAGAAATACAAAAACAAAGATTCTTTTCTGTGGGATAGGAGCCTCCTCAGGCAACTTGACTTCACTGTTTCTGTGCTTACTCATAATTCTCACTTAATTTCTATCTATGCATCTCAAGTTCCATCTGAAGTTCTCATTTACTCATGATTGTTGTGTCTGTTAAGCTTTCAACCACCACCTCAGCAGTGTCACCTTGTTATTACCTCTGCCAAAGTCTGACAGGTCACCTTGTAGCTTTACTATGTCGAAAGGGAGCAGATGGTAAATTTCAAGAATTTAAAGAATATAATGAAGACAACTGGCTGATACCTTCAGAAACATCAGAGAACCTGCAGGGTTTTAGGATCTACCTACTCTTCCACTTCTAATGTATTTTAACATACTTTATTATGCATACACCAAAGCTCTATTCTTTCTTTAACCTTATTTGGTTTTTCCACCTACTCCCTGTATTTTATTTAAAGTATCATTAAAACCCTAGATAGATCACGTGGTGTTAATGTTCCAGCTGGGGGTGAGACACACAAATTGGATGATCTCTTTATTACTATTGCTCTTATTCCTGTCCTGACTTGTATGTACCTGACTGACAACTTCTCAATTGTGGATTTGGATTTTAAATATACTCAAGATTTAACTGGAATAACTTGTTTAAAGATGTTTTATTAAGTTACTGGAGGAGTATTTACTCAAAATCTTTGAGACAGAAAAATAATCCAAAAGAGCTTTGTTTTAAAATTTTTCCTAAGTTCTTCTTAGTAATTATGCAGTGACTAAGACAAGGTAGAGCATTTTGGGTCAGTGTCACCTAGCTCTAATCAAGTCGCCCCAATCAGTCTTGGTCTCAGTTCCCAGATAAAATCAGCGCTTTTTCTGGCAGCTTGCTCTGGGTCCCAGCATACCTGTGTCATATTTCCCAGCAGAGGTATTGGGGGAGTAGAAGCAGAATGCCTTGCCCAGAAAAGAAGCAGAAGGTTGTATACTAGGCATGTAGTTTTCTCATCTGTACACAAACTTAGCTGCTAGAGTCAGAATTCCAGGGAGAATTTCTAGGCCTGGAATTTCATAGGCAAACAGAAAATAGAAAGGGCTGACACATACTGAATGCTTATGGTCAGCAGGGTACTCTCGTAAGTAATTTACTCATGTCATCTTATTTAATATTTACAGTATTTGGAAACAAGGTTTCCAGAAGTTAAGAAACCTATGCTAATTCTTCGTGTTAGAATTTGGTACATCTGGGATTCAAAATGCACATGTTGCTGCTTTTAGATTCTAAGTTCTTAATTACCACTGCTTGTCCCTAGACCCTGTCTGCCATTATGGCATGTAATGATGTTCTTCATTTAAATCCATCCAGTCAATTTAAGGTCAACTTCAGTAACCTTCATACAAGATTCTAAAAATTGGCTTTCTATTACACCTCAAGTAGAGGCCCCCTTTGCCATTCTAGGGACCAAATTTTGATAGATAATAATTTTGTTGATGAACTTACATGTATTGAGAAGATTTTCTCCTATTGGCATTGCAATGTCTAAAAGTCAGGGGAAAAGAAAATGAAATATTTACATTCATGAACATTTTATTTTAATATTAATAGCAATGATTTTGGTTTTAGAAATGCCCTATAACATTTTATTTATCTTGACTGCTATTTCCATATTCATAAATTAGTATAGAGAAAAATAAAATCTTCATACTTACTCTTAGTTCTAAAAATATTAAAGTTCCTCAATACAATTTATTTGAAAAAGTGGTTTGGTTCTGAAATGTCCTTAAATATATGAGAAATGGTAACTTTCTACTAAATCCCAGCTGATACCTTGACAAATAATCCTAATAACTAGGAGGAAGTACAGATGTTGTTACATTTAATACATTTCTGACCTCCGAGGCATTGCACAACACGGGTGCACTCACATACATGCAGGCAATACACTCATACACATAAAAAAAGAAAAATAATAAATAAAATTAAAAAAAATTTAAAGTGAAAACTAAGATTTGATTAGCATACAAAGAAATGGGTTTAACTGGGGTGTTTTCACATATATATCTAATTATATTTTGTTCTTATTGCCTCCCTGCTTTCTTCCATCTCTCTCTCCTCTGGCTGGTCCCCTTCTTCCCAAATAGGCCCCACTTCTGCTTTCATGATATATATTCCATAACTCATTCCATCTCCCCCTCCATTTAGACCTTTCTCCCCTTTCATAGTCTGCCCTTTGACTTTCAACACACACACACACACACACACACACACACACACACACACACTCATACATGCGAGTGTAGGTTACATGAATGAGACAAAATGTGATATTTGTCTTTCTGAGTCTGGGTTATTTTACCTAACATAATGGCCTCCAGTTACATCTATTTTCCTGTAAATTTCATAATTTCATTCTTCTTTATGACTGACTAAAATTCCATTTGATATAGTTACCACATTTTCTTTATACTTTTGTCTTTTGATGGACATCTAGGCTGATTCCACACCTTGGCTATCGTGAATAGTGCTGCAACAAACACGGACGTTCTATGGTCTGCTGACTTAGAATCCTTTAAGTATATATCCAGGAATGGAGCAGCAGGGTCAAGTAGTAGTTCTGATTTTAGTTTTAGTGTTTATATTTGTGTGAAGTGAATTTTACTATATTTTAAACATTTTACAATTTATGTTCTTCATGTGCTAAGTTTCAAATATCTGAAATATCCAGTTAAGCATGCCACCCTACTTTGCATTTATTTTTGGATCAAAAAAGTTTAATTCGGCACTGAGGCAGAGTTTAGAATTGTCTTCTCATTTCTGTCCAGGAATGAGATTTTATATGGAGTGGAAAATGTCCTCTACTTGAAGAACTCATAATTTCAGAAATCTTTTTTTGGGATCTATAATGAAATAATTTACAGTCCATATAGGTGCAGAATTACAACCTTGTTCAATGAATGTGGGAAAAGTATGAGGATAGTAGGCAAATGAGCTATACTTCTAATTTCATATCTAGAGAACTGCAAACCCACTAGCTATTCCTGCTTGATGAATTCAGAAGGGCATTACCTATGAGGTAAACAATTTAAGTGTCTATATTAGTGCGCTCTATGTTCTTAAATTTCTATAAGTCTCGGAAAGAGTATCCAAGTCTATGTGTCAATTACAGTTACACGCTTTACATTACGTTGCCTAATAAATTAGTGAGACAAAAGAACCCTTTGCAGAAAGTCAACCTGTCTAAACACCAGGCAAAGCCACTGAGCTGTCAGTGGCTCTGAGAGGACAGGGCCACACCTGCTCAAGGGGAAATCTGGCACAGTTTCCTTACATTCTTCATAGCTGCCTTCAAGAAGGTAATTTTTATTTGCTATGCTCTCCGGAGTTCAGTTTTTAATTTTGTATGTTTAGTAAGATATATCAATTCATAGCAAAATTTTATATGGAGTGAAAAATGTCCTCTACTTGAAGAACTCATAATTTCAAAACTCTATTTTATTCACAGGACTGTATTCTTTCCTTGAGGTTTTCTTTGCTAATATATTACTCGCTAAAAAGAACAAATGATTTTGACTTAGAATTTGCTTTTCATAGTTGTATTATCCTATAGCTGCTCAATAGAATAATTATTACTTGCGTATGTGGAAGCAAAGTTACAATGAATAGAGAAATAACGTCAGTCATATCCTTTTCGATTGAATCACTGCTGTGTCTGTTTTGTTCTTCCTGCTTCTTAAGTGCCTTGACTCACACTCAGTGGAAGTTTGATTCTTGTGAATTGACTTCTTAATCATCAATTCGACAATGTAACCTAAGACACTCTGTTTACAATGTACCATATAAAGGAAGTGACAGAAAACAATAGCACTGTCTCTGCCAAGGAGATGAATCAAAGGATAATAAGAAGGCCGGGAATGGTGGCTCACACTTGTAATTCCAGCCAGCCAAGGTTGAGGCAGAAAGAGGGTGACTCTGAGGTCATCCTGACTTTGTAAGCAAAAGCAATTAAAAAGAAAACCCAGTTCAGCAAATATGCATTGGTCTTCTTCCAAGGAGCAGGTATTAAAGCATAGACATGGATTTACTCTTAATGAATCAATCTGGTAGAAGAGGTGGGGAAATGAAATCAATGTGTTATTTCCTATGGAAGAAGTTTGTGTAAAAAACTGGATTCAACAACAAAAGCTATTTAGCAAAAAGGAGGAATTTGAACAGCTGACAACAAATATTCTTTTGGGAAGGAGTTAAGAAATATATTTTCCCAGGGAAAAATAGGTATAATATATTTGGCTGTTGAAAATTAGAACGTGTTTGGAGGCTCTAGGTCAGCAGTGTAGCATGTCTGTGACTACTGTTCAGAGTACTAAAGCAAGAGATGTGACTATGATGCATAGGTAAGAAGGACTCCTACTGGGCATGGTACATATATGCCTTTCTAATCCCAGCATTCTGGGGACAGAAGCAGGCAGATCTTTGTGAATTCCAGACCAACCTGATCTACATAGCAAATTCTAGGCCAACCAGAGACCTACACAGTGAGACCCTACTAAAAACACACACATATGCAACTGGTTGCTAATGAACATTTTTTCCTTGAAAGAAGAAATCTGAAACAGATAATGATAATGAAAATAAAACTATGAAATTTTAAGAATGAGGAAGAATTGTAGAGTTATAGTATGGTCATATGTAATATAAACTATACAGATCATGACCTTTAACTCTACTGGGGGTGAGTTTATCACTACAGGTGTCCAGATGCTAAATTAGTTGATTAATCCTACTTTTCAGATACTTTTCTAGGGTTTTATCACTAAAAATATAGAAAAATTCAACCATATTCTCTTATGGACATTTAAAAATGTTCAGTTGATAGATTCCTGAAAACTCTAAAACTATGAATACATATGGACTTACCAAGCAAAATAACCACTAAAACTGTTTTGTGGTGCAGAAATCATCTCCCATGATGGCTCTCATTTATGTTATTTTAGCTCACACACAGTTGTAATGTAACTGGTGTGCATTAAAAAGTGAAGGACAGAGCCAGACTCCTTCACTCACTAAAGGCTTTGATTAGTCATCTGACTGTATACCTAACCTCAATACTTGCTCTTTTTGTTTGCAATTTGACAAGAATTGTCTCTATGGTTAGATATTACATAATCATTTGTCATTCCCCAGACTGATGTAGGTTAGTTTTCTATAATACATACTTTCCACGATTATCATTTTGATGATGAGGATATACACATTAAAGATTAAATTAATAATGAATTTTATTCACACGTGATAGATTTTGCGTGGGGTGGGGAACCAGGTGTGCAATGGCATGCATGTGAAGGTCAGAGGACAACTTATGGGAGTTGGCTTTCCTCCACCATGTGGGTCCCAGACATGAAACTCAGATTCTCAGGCCTGGTGGTAAGTGCCTTTGCCCACTGAGTCATTTCACTGGCCCCACAGGGATGAGGTGATAGTCTTAAAGTAGAACCATGTTCTATTTTTGAATCATTTTTGTAGATTTCAAGCAGTATGAGAAAGTGGTAATATCTGGATACTATGTATAATTTTCTTCAAACCAAGCTATTGCTGATTTGAAGCTTTGGAAGGCATCTGTGATGAAGAGAGGATGGGGCACATACCCAGGGGTCTACTTAGTCATGCCAATGTAATGAGTAGTGGATAAAGTGTGTGATAACATGCCTCGTGATTTGAAAGTCATTGTGCTTCTGAGGGGCCTTCCTAAAGACATACATTGAATACGCAGTTAATATTTAGGGTAATAACTTTCAGTTGGAAAAATTATAGTTTTTTTCTCCCAGGTATCTTGACATCTTGTGAGGGTCTGTGTTTGATGGCACAGTCTTGTGCCTCAGTCTACAAAGACCTGGTGGAGTTCTTTCAAGTATGCTTATCTATTTCTTTTTTCCCTGATGACTAGGGGTTGAATACAGGGCCTTTCACATGCTAGACAAGCATTCTACCACTGAGGTACATCTCTAACTCTATTGCTTTCTTTAACTCATCTTTCAAGGAAGCTTCTTCAAGAAACTTTCTCATTCTCTCTTTTTAGATCATCACATAACTTCATATTCCCTTCCTAATTTGTGAATTTTAGCGTCTGATGCAAAATAACCATCACTTGGCAATATTCATTTGTTCATGCTGAACATATTAAATTTTTTCTCTGTGGATTTACTTTATTAGATGAGTCATCCAGATGTAGTGATTTAATTTTATTTAAAATTAGTGCCTCACTATAAAAATAACTATTAAAGGTTTGGAATATAGCTCAGTTGTACAGTGCTTGCCTCATGTACATGAAGCTCTAAGTTTAATTTCCAGCACCATAAAACAAAACCAAAACAAAAAAACTCTATTTAAAATTATAATGGATTTTCTTTCTGAGAGATTAAAAAAAGAATTATTAGTGTGGTGTGTCATTTTATTATTATTACATAATGATGGTATGTACTACTATGTAAATATATCCACAATATTATTTTGTTGATATTCTGGTATGAGTTTATCTTATGTGC